TTCATGAAGAAGATAATGAATGGGTTGACAACAGCAGGAATTCATTTTCAGCTATGAATATTGGTCTTAAAAAAACTTCTCAGTGCTTTCGTATTTGTGTCAGCAGTGTTGCTACCATGTGGAAGGTATTTAAGAATTTACGAAACTTAACTGTGACCAACGATAATGTGTGTCTGTCCCACTGTGCCACCACAGCTGAGGGCTGGAAATGCTCTCCCAAATCAACAGCCCAGGCCACTCATCCTACCAACACACCACCGCTTTACTCACTTCCCAAAGCCACGAAGTCACCTCAAAGGCTGTTTTACAATACCTAAATAAGTTCAGATTCAGAAAAAAGTATAAGAAGGAGACACATAATATGACACATAATATGACCCAAAGAGTAAAATGATTATAAAAATGACAGAAAAAAAGGCCCAGCATTTTGGGTCAAAGCTTATTTTCTGCTATGAATTTGTCCAATGTAGCTTTCAGAATTTTTCACAATTTGGTATGCTGTATCATTAGTAAAAATAAACAGTTATAACTCAATTCTCAGGAGTACTTATTACGTTCACATTTTCCACTGGAGAAAGAAATTGCTCAAAGTGAAGTTTCCAAAAAAGCAATGCTTCTCTGGACTACTACACATCCTTTTTTCTGCTGCAGCTTCCTCCCCCTGAAGCCCAGTATAACTCTACTATTTCTGCCACACTTCTGTTTTCTGCTAATATACTTAGCCATTTGCAAAAGTGGAATATGAGGAGCCATCCAAAACAGACAGACATTTCCTGCCTGCTTTTAAACAAACCAATTCTACTTTATTCCATATCCTGCTGTACAAATGACATCCTTCCTATAAACTAGTCTACAAGACCACAGTACTATTTAGCAATCAAAACATGGATGCTCATTATCTACTTCTCTTTCATTATTTACTCTTTTTGCCTCCACTCGCCTTTTCTTCTAAACCTACACAACACTTGTGTCAGTAACTTCCAATTCGTTTTCACTGTCTCACACTCACCGGGAAGTAGTAGAGGAAATGCATCTATTTTAGTTGTATTATTAATTTATAAATATTTACCAAAATTCCACATACATTTTTCAAAATCAAAATACCTTTGGGACAGTCAGCTAACTTTAGTTCATAAATACTAAGGGCAAATTTTCTCCCCTCCCCCTTTCAGATTATATGTTCAATTTAAGAGATTTTTTTTTTCTATGAAATAATTAAAAAAACCTGAACAGAAAAAAAAATAAAAAAAAGGCAAAAAACCCTGTTTGGTTAGAAAGAAGGAAATAAGGAAGAGGCTGAAGAAGTTATTTTTTCCTGGTCCCAAGTTAATCCTGTGGGAAATCAGTGCAATTCAAAGGGCTTCTTTTTCCCCCCCCAACTAAACATCTAAGTCAGCTCATGTTTATCTGAAACCCAGTTTACTTTGGAAAGGCTAAAGAAATAAAGCAGTCCATCAATTATTTAAAGCATTTGGCCCTGATTCTGCAGAGGCTTGGGTACACACTTGATTTCATCAGTCTTCAAGCTGGAGTCTTCCACAGCCAGAGGCTTGGTCTGTGAAGTGGCTGGAAAAGAAAATGTGTGAATTGGCTTTTTCAGTGAAAAGAGTTGTTTCGGTTGTGGATGAAGGATGCTCTGAGCAGTCAGGACAAATCCAGAGCCAGTTGCGCAGGGCATGGTCATTGCCACCCTGGTGGCCCCCTGGGCTCAGACCTCCATCGGCAGCTATCACACCAGCGGGTCACAGCTGGACAGCAGTGTGCAGATGTGAGATAATGAATGCTGAGGGAAGGGAGACAGTCTCCCCCAGCTTCATGGCCATAAGCCAGACTTGAGGGCGGCTGAGCCTCAGCCCCTGCTCACATTCAGCCTGCCTCACCCAGGGTCCCTGACTCATTTTCAGCAAAGATGCTGAAATGCAGATGCAGAAATTCAGAAGACACAGGTATATAGCTAATATATATGCAAAAATATACTACATTATGTAAAAATAGAAGTATAGATAATACACAATCTTCATCCTTACACAAAGTGGATTGCAGTGGAGGAATGCATTCTTCTGTGGCATGGAATTTAATTAGTTACTAAATTTAGATACTGTCAGTATAGTTATAGAGGATTCACTGCAGCTGGATCTAAACATTGCATGATATTTTACATTTTGCACAATACTAATGGATGACATTACATTAGTACAGATATTTTGAAGTATTTCTATGTGAATGCTTCGGTCTATCCAGTGGTTTAGACAGCTAAATCATACTTGGTTACATTTTCAAAAAAATCCTGTAAGTCCCAGGTATTGGTAGTTTTAAAGAAAGTATTCAGAGACCCTGAATCCCATGCAGTTGGGAAGGACTGATCCAAAGCAAAAACACAGATGCAAAAATAATTAAATCTGCTTTAAGCATAAGACACAGTTTTGATGCAGTCTATGGGAGATAAGAAGTCAGTGTTGAAGTTTCTCCTCTGCCATAAACATATTATTTGTAACAATCAGTACCTTAAAATTCAAACAATTTGGGTAAAGCTTACTAGAAACGGAAGGGCCTAAATATGTCTGTATCTCTCACCATCATAGCATGTGCATCTCAGTTCTTCATCTCCAATAAAACAGCATGGGAGAATTCCACAAGGCTAATTAAAGACGTGAAATTTTAAGTCCATTCAGAGACTACAGTAATTAAGGTCAAATAAGTTCTCAAGTTTGAGTCAAACTGCTTCTACTTCAAACTGCAGAACTTCACAAGGTATTTTCTCCTGCAGACATTGGGCTTAGCTATAGCCTGGTCTAAATTTCAGAGTCTTATTCAAAAGGCGTTGAGACAGACAGTATGGGCCATTTCAGACTGGCACAATATGTGAAGGAGTTTATAAATCCTTGAAGAGCATTCCACCACCTTTTTATTTATATATATATATATATATATATATATTATTGAGCAGACTTCTCCAGCCCAAACTACTTTGCAATATCTGTGCCATAGTAATGCATGAGGCTGACATCCCAGGTCTGCCAGAGCTGGATGCCAGATGATCCACAACTACAAATGCCATTTTAAAACGTGACCCTGAAGAGTATTTTTGACAGATGGGATTTCCCATGTATAGAACTATGCTATCTCCGTAATCTCTGAACTCAATTTAAGTTTCATATATAAGATTATTTTCATTTCAACCCCTTTGGTCACTTGTGACAACAATATTTCCCTTCTCCCTACACAAATCTAATTTGGTCTTGCACTGCAACTCTGCTTAGAAAGCTGTTTAGTGGCAATGTTTCAGAAATACGAATCAAATTTTCTTGAGTGAAATAAAATTAGCTATCCAGGAAAGGAAAATCCACTTTTCTAGGGGCACTGATTCCATATTTTAGGTAATGGCTCTAAAATACAATAATAATCATAATAATAAAATGGTTCTGAGATGCCATGCATGCTGATAGCAAGAAGGCTATCAGAAGTAGCCCTGCTGTCCCTGAATACACTGGGAATGACTGGAAGCATTTGCTGGTCCACAAAACAGTACCCTTACACCACGAATCTCACAATTTCCTGACATGTTAAAATAAAGGGAAAAGACAGCAGCGTAACAGCTGAGGATTTGGTCCCAAGGCTGGCTTAGATTTGGTGACCAGTCCAGTGCCAGGTCAAATGCTTTTAAAATAGGATTTGCAGGATCTTCCTCCTGAACCAAAACAGAGACAGCTGTGCTAGAGGTCTTCTTCAGGCAGAAGGGGTGAACTCATCCCTTGGCAGCCAGGAGAGAGGTCCCTGGGGACAGAGGAACAGGATGGTCCAATAACCAGTGTCAATCCCTCCTCTGCTGAATCAAGAGAGCCCTTTTCGCAGCAGACCCACCAGACAGGTTTTTTGTCAAGTCTTCTTTAGATTGTGCTGGCAGAGCAGAAGAATTCATACCTCAGTTTTCTATGGGACATCGTTCTTCCTGCTATCTGCATGAGCGACATTGCATAAGCCACCATATGAATGGAGCCACCAAAGCACTAAATGACAGAAGAGTCTGAATAGAGGAAAAAGGAAGAATCAAAAGGAAGGATATTTTCCCAGCCTTTTGCAGTTCTCTTGCCATCCCCCCTACTCTTCACCCTTTTTCCACCTCCTCTGTAACTCCCATGCCTTTCATCTGCCAAAGCAAAGAGGCGACAAAGCCTGTAGCTGTCCCAGTTTCTTTAAGGACCTTCCATCTCCTTCACTCCTGCTCAGCACAGATGAGTCAGGAGGAGGCAGAGGCTCGGAGGCACAGCTGTGCAGGCAAGTGTATACAGCAAAGCAAATCTAAAGTAATTAAATAAACAGTAATACAAACATTGCACTTCTGTCCATTTATTCTAGCTATTGCAAAGTGGGCTCCTCCATATAATGTTTGCACAAGAGCTGTGATGTATCACTTAATCTACTGTAAGGACTTTATTCATACCACCTGAGGCTGCTCCTCTGCAAGCTCCCACTTACACAAGATTGAACAAAACAGAAGATATTACTGAGCTCAGTAATGGCATCTTTTGCCACATGCTGTCAAGTTTCTAACTTCAGTGGTCCAGAAGACTGACGTAGAAAAGCAGATGAGACAGTACAATAATGCGGTACAGTTGGACTTTATACTTACACTGTCTCTGACCTTGACATTTGCTCTTCAAAGGAAATAATCAAGATTGAAACCAAACCAAAATCAACCCAGACCCTACACCACTCACCCACAAACCAACCCACCCCAAAACAAAGGTAACAGAGGAGCAGCGACCAAACCCACTTGACCCATGTTGTTAGCAAAGCTCTGTAATGGCATAACCCCAACATACTCGGAGCATACCAGGACACAATTTCAGTGACTTAGTTTCAAGCACGCATCATGCACTTTGCTTTTAAAAAGACCGTATTAGTCATGATGTTTTGTTTTCTGAAGAAGAGCATCTCCAGCTCATATATAAACCTGGGGTGAGAGCTGGTTACCTGGTTTCTGGTGTTTCCCCCACACACTTTAAGGAATAAATGTAGGTGTACTGAACTGCTTAGTGCTCTGAAAAGGTGCTCTGGACAGCTGATCAATCTGCCAAAACAATGAGCTTCAGAAGTGCAAGTTCAGAGCTCACAAAACTGCCTGATATAGCCAAAACCATGCAATGGCAGTATTTAGCAGCTACCCGACTCTGCACATTTTCTGAAGCCCTTTTGGTGCAGTCCAGCTGCAGCTTCAAACCACTCTGCACCTCCACCCATTCCCCTCACTATCCCTCTTGTCTATTTGCTATCTCAGGCATTGCTGCATGTTTAACTTCTAAGCCCTTGAGGGTGATCAAGCCAGTTACCAAATGTACAGTCAGCTCTCTGCAATGAAGTGCTCAACAACTCCAGTTCACATCCAAGTTTCAGGAGCTGCTGATGGTTGCAAACAGGCTGAACCCACCCTGCCTAAAAACACACCACCAACAAAACTGTCATGTCACAGTATCATCTCTCCTCATCCCATATTTCTGAGCTATGCCCTCCCTGCCTTTCAGCACACCCAGTAACTTGAGAACTAAAAGAGGATGGAAACCATTTCAGGAGCAGGGTTCATCTACCTGTAAGTGTAGCAGAACTAGAAAAAAAAAGAGTAAAAATAATCAGGGCCAGGAACATGAGGGGCTGTAGTCCTCCTATGGCCAGCAGTCTAAAACATAAGTATTGCTGAGGATGCAGGAGAGATTTCTCGTTTAAAACAGCCTGCATGGGATTTAGAGCAGTCTGTGGACAAAGCTCTCTGTCAGCCCAGACCAGACTGCAAGAACTTATCATTTGACAGTGATCAAACATCAACTTGCAATGCACATACGTTTCCAGGAGCAAAAATTATCGGTAGTGGTATGTGGCCTGTAAGTGTTACTGGACACACTGCTCATAGGTTCATGTTTTCTGCAGTATGACATAAGAGTATATGAAGCCTTCTCAATCAAATCAATTTTTTCTCCAATAGGTGCCCACTAAAAAAAAATTTTCTGTTAAAACAACTGCACCATCCTCCCCTAACAGCTAACAAGCTGGGTTGTTTTTCCCCCCCTTCAAGTCATCCATACTGAAGTACCTTCAGAAGTGAAAAATGCCAGTCACAGCCAGTTGGCAGGAGGGCAATGCTTTAATATCCGCTCCAAGGATGAAAGACATGGCAGCTCCTAACCCGCACACTGGCTGCAGAAAGCCGTCAGCCGGTGAGACCACACCATGCCCAGCTCCCATTTAAGCTGAGCAAGCAAAGCTGGGAGCCCATTAATTTGCTGTGTGAGTTATGGTTCCCTGCAGCACCTTTTGTTCACTGTCAAGGTTCTGCAACAATGACGAATGCAGCTACATTCAGCCCAAAACTCCAGAATTTGATACACTAAATCATTCTAGATATTAAATGTCTCAGCGATAAGCCTAGCAAATGAATTCCTCTGGAGCCTACACTTTTTGGTCTATATGAGGCAGGAGGGACTCCCCATATACTCCCCCCATTGTTTCAGGGAAAATTATGCAGTTTGGTAGCATTGTTGCTCCCAGGAAAGAAACCAGAATCCCAGAAAAATTCACACAACTTCCAGTGGCTACTAAGGGAAGCTGCAAATCTGCCTGAATAACTGAGGCAGCAGAAGGCAGTTTGAGGCATTAGGAGCTCACCAGTTATTCCTATTTTAATAGCAGCAGCTGTACACACTTAGAAAGTTTCCACTTACCTTAGTAAATAAACAGAAAAGACTCCTGCAATAGACAAACAGGGGAACACAATCAGAATGCTTAAGCAGCAAGAGACAGGCAGGTTTTCAGTCTTACTCTTATCAACCTCACAATTAATCATTTTTTGTTTAAAATGATCTCCTTCCTCCAGCCACAGAACACTGCAGTCACAAGAACTGACTAAATCTCATCTCAACTAATTTGTAAAGAGTAGCTGACTTTTCAAAGGAATCCTAAACCAAAACAGATTAAGGCATGAAGAGGGTGGAACAATTGCTGCTTCATTTTTAATTTCTCAAAATCACCATCAAATATATCACAGTGGTTAACTCCGGAAAGATTTTGCAAGCTTCATAAACAATAGAGGTATTACCCATTATCACACAAGTACAAATTAGTTTGACCTTTCCAGCTTTCTCATACTAGGTTTCCTTTTTTCCACTTGACTAGAGAAAATATTGAGTCAATCCATGTTCTCTGCTCTTCATTCTCAGATGTATTTGACTAGTGCTTTTTTCCTCTACATCTGCAATTATCAGAGACTCATCAAACACTGAAATCAGCCCAGTAATTCTTTGATTTAAGCCAGTGCATAACTAGTGCTCCCTAGGAAAAATGCAGCCTTATGCTCAGCATTGCTCTCTATATGCTTTTCCCACCTCTGCCTCCCCAGTAAAACAACGTGTGATATGTTCATTTAATATTCCTTGTAGGAAGTGTTGGCAAACAATGTGAAAACAAGGGCAGCAGAAATCAGAGAGGGAAGGATGCTCACTGCCTTCCATCGAGCCTGCCCAACCTTCCTGCCCACAGAGCTTTCCCTGCCCAACAACAGACATCTCCTTGATGCCTGAAAATGGAGCTGGCAAAGCAGCCAGCAGATCTCTCCTGACATGTGGATTTCTGGACTAACACCCAGCTATACTTAACAGATATATGTACATCCCCAAAAAGCCTTCACACAAAGCATGAAGTAGGAGAAGTGCACCCAGACAAACTATCCTGTGTGTCATGCACCTTTCAGGTCAACTTCCATGCACAAACTGCGGCCACTGAAAGTGGACACTGATTTCTGCAAAGTCTAAAACCATTTTTCATGAATAATTGGTGCTTTCTATCAGTAAGTCTGACTGTGCTGGATCCAACAGAGGAATCTCTTGTTTTCTTGATAATCTTGTCCTGGAACCAAAGGACCTGGGGAAGAGCAAAGAGAGGGTAATGCTGAGCAAGCCACAAAAATCCTTACCTGTCAGCCAAAACATAAGAGGACCTGCTGCATCAGGGTGTTTCAGTAAGGATGTATAACACTGAGTGTAGCAGCAGTGGGGGAAACTGAGGGGGAAACTGAGAGGCAGAACAGCTTTGTGGGTCAACAGAGAATCACAGCCCCAGTGAAAGAAATGCGTCAAGGAGAAAAATGATGCATTTGTGTACCGGTTCCTCACAATTAGGAAACCTGAAACAATTACACCATAGAAATTGTGATTAGGGTTATAGATATAAAATTCAATACGCATCTAAAACCCTGCAAGCCAGCACTGGCTCTTTCCCCAGCCCATGTGGAAGGGCGCACTCCCGTAATTCCAGGGTTGGCTGAAGGTGCTCCCCGGCTATGCTCTGCTCGGGGCGGAATGGATACGCTATGCGATGTCCCACCGGCTGCCTGAACACAAGCCAGGAGCTGAAGTTGCTCTAGCAGCAGCCGGAGCAGTGCGGATGATGCGGGTTGAGTGCTGCCACCCTGTGGGATTGTGTCACTCGTCTCTACGCATTGTCACGCTGCTGCGTGCTCCCGACGCTCAACTGCACACCTGTACTTGGGAAATCATGGGGGGCTCCAGAGCCCACACAAGCAGGTTCCAGAGAAGCACAATACACTGAAACATGTTTAAACGTTAATTCGGGAGCTGGAAATGTTTATAAATATGATTTGGAACAAAAAGGTTACTGAATTCTGGCTAGAATAAGAACAAATACTATAATTCAAAATAATTAGTACGTCATAGGTAACAGCCTGATGTATTTACACAATTTATATTTACTCCCATGTATCAAGGCCTGGATTGAAATCCTCTTTTGTACATTGCTAGGAGCCAATTCTGTTTGAAATTACTCTTCTGCTGTACTTCATATTTCATTCATTTCTACTTCCAGCTATACACGCACAACAGAGGGCATTATACATCTCCCTAATTGAACAATACAGATCAATTAAATATGAAAAGTCATTCTTGGACTAAAACCCTCTTAGGCAAATGTTCTGCTCTTACATTAAAGTAGCTCTTTTGAAAAAGCTAGGAGTTGAATGCTGTTCAGAGGCTTTTTTTTTTCTCTTTCCAAAAGACTGGGAGACAAAGACCAAGAACATTCATCCATTCATTCATGATACAAGGACACAGAGCTTTTGCCTCCATTTCACAAGCGCAGGGTAGTGGTGATACAAAAAGTTTTACTTGATGAAAGCTGTTCAGTGCTCTGTGTGCAGGAGATGAAGAACCCTCCTCTGCTCAGAGCTGAGCATGCCTTTCAAACACCTCTCATGGGTCACACCATTAACACAAACCAGTGTTGTCAAATGGTACCATGGGAAAAAAAATATGAAAGGAGTCTATGCACCACTGCTAGCCCATCAACTACAGGCTCCTCACACGTATGCTATATAAAACACTGAAGTCCCACTGAGCATCAGAGTGGAGAAGGTTAAAGCACATCAGCCCAGTTATCAGTTCACATATGGTGGTGTCAGAAACCAAGGTGGCCATGATAGGATAAAGTCCCCTGAAAGAAGCTCAGCACTGTAGCAGTCAGCAAGGATGTTTGTTTTGCCTTGACTGACCAATGCAAGTTCTTTGCTAATACACAACCTGTTCTGTAAAAGATTGACTTAGACCTGGTACAAATCTACAGCTAAGTTAACAGAAGAATCTGGCACAGATATGAGCTTAGCTCTATCAGTCCCAGGAAGGGAAATCTACCTGACAGCAACCTGGACAGCTTGTGGGCTTTCTCCAACCCCTAGGTCAGCTGTTAGTCCACAGGTAGCAAGCGGTCTGTGACTTCCTAAAGGCACAGAAGAACAGACCATGGCTCAGTCACAAGACAGGCATGGAGGAAGCTGGGACTAAATCCAGTGGAGGGTTTTGAGCAGAATTCATTTTTTCTACTGAGCACTCATTAAGAGAGCCCAGAGGGGGGAGATCACCGAAACCATGGCTATGGATCAAACAGGGGAAGAGTGTCTGCTCAAGGATTTATAGCAATAGCTAGAAAGATGTAAAAATGGAAGATCAGAACCATTAACATAGAGGCACGGAGCAAGGAAAGAGTGTATGCTGAATATCCTCAGCAATCCTGGGGACTGTCACAGATGGCTAGCGGGGTTTTCACACTCCTATTACTGGAAGCATAGAGATGGAAATGTGTTTAATTGTTTGAGTATGACTTGTTTGTAAGTCTTCCCAAATAAAGCTGTTATCTGCATAAAACGAGTTTAATAAACCATGTACTCACAGCTCTGTTAAAAAAAAAAACACTGGAAGGTTATTGGAATTCAGTAGTATTCAGATTAAATTACCATTTGTAATACAGGTTTTCCATTACAAATACCAAATACACTGTTTATTCCCTTTCTCAGTCTTCTAATTGACGAAAATGACCTGCTAAACCTTATGTAGATTGCATTTAAATGCCACATCTCTTCATTGGCTAAACATTTATATAAATAAATTATAAACACAGATTTTGTCTGAGGCTGCCTAAGATCTTATACTGATAGAACTTATAGAAGAATAAATCAATCCAGAGTTAGGAGCTCAGGTCTAACTTGTCACCTGAACAGCTACCAACACCTACTGGAAACTCTCAGGTCCTTCATCCCTGGCCACATCCCCTTGGCCACTGCAGTTGCCCATGCTCCCCCCCGCCCCATCACATCAGAAGGATGTTAATTCAGGAAATCCCAGGAGAAACAAGTGTTGACCAGGTCAGAAATTAAACTACTCTGCAGAAGGACTGTGGGAGGCACAGGGACACTGAAGGAGTCCTCTGGACCATGCTACTTTTGAACAAGGGCTGCAAAGGAAGACAAACTATCACAGCAGGGACTGCTGTCACATTGTGCTCCTGGGTTAAATAAAGTCTGGAGAAAGCCAATCTGAACAGTTGATCATTTAACCACATCTTGCTCTGCAAACAAGAATGGGGAAAGTGGGAAAGCCCATGTGAGATGGTTAATAATGATTGTGTCCACTGAGTCTCACTTAAGTTCAGGTTCAAAACCTCTGGAAAAAAACAAAAAGAAGAGGTGCTAAAGTACCAATGTGATGCTTTTAATCTTCAATATAATGAATCTTAGGAGAGCTTGGTACTGCATATATCAAAACTTTAATTCACTAATGAAGAGATCTGGCCATATCTGAGACAGCTCCAGCAAACTTTCAAATAATAGAGCATCAACAGCTGACCAGCTGGAAGAGACAGAAGAATTAACAGAAGAAACAAATATAGTAGAAACTCATTTTTGAAATCTAGAGCTGTTTAACAAAATTTATGGGGGGGGGGGGGGAAATCCCTGTAAAGGTAATTTCAAAAAAGTAATGGTTGTAGATTACTTTCTTGAGTCCCTAAAACAATTTCTTTTAAGTGGAATAATAATGCAATAAGTGTCATCACCTTACCTGCTGATACTTGTATGCTGTAATTGCATACCTGAGCAAAAATCCCAATTTACATTGCAGAGTCAAAGCTTACTCCTTATGCTCTAGCTTCCTAAATTTAAATCATAGAATAGTTAGGGTTGGAAAGGACCTCAAGATCATCTAATTCCAACCCACCTGCCATGGGCAGGGACACCTTACACTAAACCATCTCACTCAAGGCTTCGTCCAGCCTGGCCTTGAACACTGCCAGGGATGGAGCATTCACAACCTCCCTGGGCAACCCATTCCAGTGCCTCACCACCCTTACAGGAAAGAATTTCTTCCTTATACCCAATCTAAACTTCCCCTGTTACCCCTTGTCCTGCATGCATATTTAAAGTCACTATATTAACTGTTTTCAAAACACTTTGATCCTGTTGGTCCTGAGGGTTCAACTTTAATTGCTGGGTTAAATCACTGGAAAAACAAACAAACAAACAAATAACACCCACAAACCAATCAACAAATCTTTCTTCTTCTTGGTGTCCTGCTGAAAGAGATTTTTATCCTGCAGATTAAGATAAAAAGTGACTGCTTGTATCTAGGGAAAAGCAAAGAATGAAGTTATTTCCCAAGTACAACACATACAGTACTGGAAACCCCTGCTTAGTGTAGAAAATACTGTTGCTTCAGTTCATGTGAAGCTCATTTATGCCAAGATGGCAAGCAGATTTGACACAGGAGTTTTTGTTTTAATATCACCAATTTTGGCAGATGATGCTAGGGAACAGGGAATAGTTGTGTACTCACATGAATCAGTAAATCAGTTGGATGTCATCATTATATATTTGCTTTGCTAATGATAAAAAGAATTAATCACTACTGTCACGGTATTCATATTTATATTTGAGTAACCACCGTAGCAGATAACAGTAAAGATAGTGCAAGTTTAAATCCTGGCAGCAAGCTTAGATTAGAGCTTCGGAGCTGACATTTGTGGATTTGGTGTGATTCATGTTACTTTTCTGTGTTTGTGATTACCTTCCTGTCAGGGCTGCACATCACTCACGCACCAAGCAGCAGGCTTCCAGTTTCTGCATGTGAAGGAAAATTCCCAACTGTTGCACCGAAACCTTCTCCTAATGGAGCCCCATCTTCTGAATAACAATGGAGCTGAACAAGGCACCAGCAAAAGGAGCATGTAAACAGCTTTAACAGGGACATTATCGGGTCATTTTAGGTCACAGATGGGAGGTGTGGGAAGAAACCCCAGACTTGATCTAATCTAACGTGGCTAAAAATAGACCTGTGATGATTTATGAACTTTCAAATGCAGAGTTTTGGTTTTTTTTTAAGCAACAGCATCTTCCCTGACACCACCTGCAGCCCAAAAGCTGCCTGCTCAGTCTGACGGAGCCCCTTACAGGGTCCCTGATGGGTACCAACCATGGGCAGCTGGTACCTCATGGGCAGCTGGTACCTCCGTCATCCTTCACCAGACGCAATTCAGAAAGGCCATGAGAGAACATCAAACGGCAATGACTGAGCTATCTTGTGGTTAATATCCTTCCTGCAGCCTGCTTTGTCTTTACCTCTATTGTGGGGTTTTTTTAAATCAAGTTAACTACACAGAACTGTCAGACAAAAGCCAACTCTCTAAACCAAGAGAAATAAGCCAACAATGTCTACAAAATCATTCTGAAGTTTTGCCCCTGGGGTAGAAGTTGTACAGGTGCTTTACACCCATTTTCTTAGCAATGCCTGATGGGATAACACAGGAACATACTTTAAATGAAAGAAACATTAAACACAGTACATAAATAGACTTGAATATTAACAAGAAACACTTTCATGCATGAGGAGGTGCAAGTTTGGGAACCAAGGTGGGCTCTCTCACCAGCTGCTTGCTGTCTTGCCATGCTGTTGTTTCCCTCTGGAATAAACACTCCTCCGCTGATGGGTAAAACCCAGCACCCAAGAAACAAGTGATGAAGGGATAATACTGGAAATACAGTGAAGTCGACCCCAGGGAAGAATGCCTGGGGTCTCAGAGACCACACATCCAAGAGGGCTTGTGACACAAAGGCATCCTTGTGGCCCAGAGAAGGGGCCCCCGCTGCCAGTAATGCCCTTTCACCACCCAAAGCACACTGAGGGCACACTTGCCCCCATCAGACATCCACAGTGACCTCAGGTGAGGGTCTAAATTGCTCCAGACACCACCGTTAAGGCATGTTAGGTTAGAGTTTGAAGGCAGGATCAGACAATCGTGTTCACTGCTTACGTGCTATAGGAGAAGTAAACCTTCTAGCAAAGGTAACCTTTTTTTCTGCTGTCATCAGATTCAAAATATGTATTTTGACATCCTATAGAATAGCACAAGCTTAGAATTCCAGGAACACTTCATGGGCTACAAGAGAGCTCAACTCCACTGCAGAGATAAGGACGGGAAAATTTCCAACTCGCCAGACTTTTGCCGGAATCATTCAACTCCAACTACCTGCGGGTGCACCCGATTCTAGCCCAGTCCTCATCATCCAAGTGCTGCCTCCAGGCAAGCTAAAGCATGGGCACACGGGGCAGGAGACCCCCTCCTCCCGAGCATCCGAGTAGACAGACACAGATACATACAAGTAAAAGGGTCTGGTGTGTCTTCCTGCAAAGGGCTAGTTCACTGGATGGGATGGGATTAAATACCTCCTGAAACCAAGTAAAATCTTGTCAGGTGTAGTCCACTCTGCCCAGAGTTCAGCAGAAGAGGGAGAGGTTGCTGCACACCAGCAGAAGCCATTGTCTAAAGCAGGCTGCTTTGGGAAAATTATCAGTGTGCACACCTCTAAAGGAGGCTGTACAGCAAGTAGAAGAGGGATTAGCCGTGTAAACTAAGTCCTTTCGGTATTAAAGAGGGGAGGTGACTTTGAAGGATTATACAAGAGCCATTTAAGCAGTTTTCAGGGACTTAGAAATGCAGGGTAAAAATGCAAGCTCCCAGGTCCAGAAAAGGAGAAAAAACAGTGTTCTGGCCAGGAAAGCAGCAGAAAAGGCTTCTGGAGAGTCCCAAGCGCAGGGCCCCATCACCCCGCTTCCAACACCGGGCACTGGCCATCGTACCCCACGAAAGCAGCATAGGGAGCTGGGAGCACCTGGGAGGAAGCAAGGGAAACGGGGGAAGAGGCTCCGTAAGCTGCGGTGCTGCTGGTACCTGCTACGGGCCGTGGCATCCCCACAGCGGCTGTGCTGGGAGGGAGTGCGGTAGAGACCCTGTGTCAGAAAGAATTTTAGGAGTAGTGTGACCATTCGCCGAGGAGGATTACACCAGTCCCGGCTCTCCTCTCAATGATTTATCGGCTAGAATGCAGGTCCTGAACTGAGACACGTAAACAGGAGGATGTGCAAGCACAAACACAAAAACTGACTTCTATCTATAGCCAAACGTTCCCGTTCTTCCCTGAACCTCAGGGTGCTAATCAACATGCTGGCTCCTAATCCTTTGCCCACATTAATCCAGCAAGGGAAAATGAATACGCTGCTCCAAGACATCAGACTGTTTTATCGAACCCTCCTTGCAAGAAAAACCCCGCTTTTGCTTAGTCTAAAACGTGATGGATAATTGGTATGTAAGATACAAACTACTTCCACTTGTTATGCAAGCTGCATCGTTTAATTTGTAGTTTAGAGAGCGAGTCACTCTTGTCTGGGATAAATAAAACAACATGCTGCATTATGTTGCTCACGACACGGAAGCAACATTAGCCTGAGGAAAGCAAAAGAAGCTAAAACTCGAGCGAGCAACACCGGCTGGATCAAGCAAAAAGTTATGCATGCATTTCTGCCAGCTTGCGAGGGAGCATCCCTCTGACAGAGACAAGCACACACACACACAGCCCCGTTCCCGCGCTCTCCTCCGCGGTCCCTCTCCCCGTGCCTGGGGCGCAGCGCCGACCCCCTGCCCACGGTTACCGCTGCCTCACCCGGACCCGTTCCGCCGCTCCGCTCCGCGCCGGACGAGGGGGAGCCTGGCCCGGCACCTCGCTGCGGAGCCACGGGGCCGCGCCGCGCTCCGCGGGGAGCCCCGGCAACAGCGGGAGCCGCGCCCCGGGCTCCGCGCCCCCTCCACCCCGCATCTCCCTTTCCGGGGAGCCGCCCGCTCCGCGGCACCCCACTCTCCGCACCCCAAGGCGAGCCGCGCTCCACGGCTCCCGCTGCGCGCCGCCCCGCGCAGCCCAGCTCCGCTCTCCTTCCCCGCCGCCGCTCTCCCGATTTATTCCTGTTTTACTGGCTTTTGCTTTTTCCTATTCAAACCCGCCTCCCTTCTCCCGGTGCAAAGCCGCGCTTACCTGGACACGGCTCGGGGACGCGGGGCTTCGCGGGCACTGCCCGCCCGCTGTGCGCGGCAGCCCCGAAGTGCGCGCCTCCGCAGCTGCCCGCGGCCGCAGCATTGAGCGGCAGCGGCCGGGAGCCGGGCGAGCGCTGCGCAAACCCCTCCTCCCAAACCTGCGCCGTGCGCGGGGGGCGGGCGGACGAGCCGCGGAACCGCGGACGCCTTTAACCCTTCTGCTGTCCCGCAGCGCGGGCGCGGCCCCCGCGCGCAGAGGGAGCGCAGCGCAGCGCTCGGTACAACAGTTGCTATTCCGTAGGGTCTGTAGAGCGGCTCAGCTCTGAGCTGGGGGGTAATTCCCCTGCCCGGTTCCCGATTCCCTTCTGTGTTAGCCCAGGCGTGGCTCCTCCCGGCGGACACAGAACCCGTCCGGCTCGGTGTTTTGCCGGCCCGTGCTTTTCCCCCATCGCCGACCAGTCCCAGGAGTCCCAAATTACAGATGGGGACATTTTTTTTTCCTCTCTTCGCTGGCCTCCGGCAGTAATCTCAGATTTGCCGTAATTGTTTTCACTCTTCAAAAGCTGTCCCCTTCCTTCATTCCCCTGTTCCATCAGTCTGTCACTCAGCCCTCTCTACTAGTACACCCTCTCCTTTCATCCCCTTTTTGACCCTTCTTGTCCAAGAAATGAGTGTGGGGAGATGAGAGAAGCCAGAGAGGAGAACGCACACAGGGTGCCAACCGCATCCCTGCTGCTTTCAGCCCTCCTCGCACCCCAACACCCAGCATCTCTCCTGGCCCCGGGGCTTCCTCTGGATCACCCATGAGGGTCTCTACCTGCCACAGCAATGAACATTATGAGCCACAAACTGCTTTGAAAGTCAGTTCAGGCTTCATAAGCAGAGCAATCAAAAGGCATGAAGAAAAGCGGAATAAAAGTGTCTTCAGAAGAGAAGGTGGAACCTACCTTTCCCTGCCCTGGAACCTTGTACCAGGAAGTGCTCTTAAATGGCTGTGCTAAAAATGCAGTGCAAAGAGGGTATTCAGTCTTAACTGTGCCTCCCCTGGGTTTTGAGGGATTAAGTGAAACCCTTATTATGTTTAATTATCTCTAGAGTTGCTCTCTCTGCTTGCTGCCTTGCTTTATGGTTTAATAAACTGCACATCGATATAAACTGAATGACAATTAACGTTAGTGCAGGTTGGATTTGCGTTTATTGCTGCTTACAGGTTTGAGCTCGACAAGCCTTCGCTCAGATGTTTCATTGCCATCAGCACCTCTTTCTTTAGCATGGCTGCCAGCTCCAAAAGGCAGTTGGGATGTGCCCTCAGCCGTCTGGGAGAGTGGCTGTCCCAGCAGAATGCTGTGATCCAGAGCACGGCCCTATGTGTGGCTGGGCTGTGTGGGGCCAGTGGGTTTGGGCAGCACTGCAAGGAGCAGCGAAGCAGCACACCGGCATTTCTCTGGTGCCCAGAGCCAACTGAGCATCTTCAATGAGCCCCATCCTGAACAGGCTCTAAGTACCAATGCCCACAGTGCCTTTAGGAATGCTCAGCTCCCTTGTGATGGAGGATGGCCCAAAACATTAGCTCCTAGAGAGGGCAGGAGGAGCCAGTGCCGTCTTTCCTGAATCCTAGTGAAGGTTTAAGGTAGAACCCAACAACAAAACAGTCTGGAGGAGGCAGACTGCGCTTGAGCTGTGTGTGAAAGAATGCCCTCATGTTATGAAATGTTGTATAAACGTTATGTATTATTTGTGTAATCCCATTCTGATTTAAACAATAGTGGAGACTGCTCAGTAACCCAGAATAAAGTGTAGCACCAAGTGTTTTCCATTTAGGAGTGCCTGTGTCTCCAAGGTCACCTCATAAATCCTGACACTGTGGCGTGGTGCTGCCAATCTGTGTGGGGTGGAATCACTCTTGAGGGAAATCAGTGCTGAAAATGCTTCCGAATTTTTTGAAAGGAACATGCCTAGAATCATCATCATATCCCATCTGAGCATGCAACATCCTTACAAGCACCAGAGGAAAACATCATCCACCCTCAGACGGGTGGCAACCAAAAGCAAATAAGATCTGAAAGGTAAGGCCATGGAAGCAGCATGTGCAGGCAGATGGCTTCCCTGAAAAGCCTTTTGGTTGTGCCACCTTCTCTGCATACAAGTCACCACTGAGTGAACAAGCAAACCAGGTCACCTGCCTTTTTTTTTTCCTTTCTTCCCAAACAAATCCACAAATAAGGCCAAAGGTAGAAAAGTCAGAAGTCAAAGACTCTGGTTTAAATTCAGACGAATTCATTGTAGCAAATAGTTTAAAATACTTCATAAATCTGGCAAGAAAAACTGCCTTGCAGGTTTTTAAGATCACTTGTAACAGTAAAGCTGACACTTTGAATAAAGCCTTACAGCACGACCTTCAGAAGCACGCTGCTGCACAGCTATGTCCGTGATTGGCAATTGTGATATTCATGCCAGAGCATCACTACCATATTTAGCACAGTAATATTAATTACGTAAACCTAAACTATTTTTAATTCCTGTGAAGGTTGTCACACAAGCATGCGAACAAAGCCAAGCAGAATACAAAACTGGCACCATCCCTAATGCATCCGCAATGTCCTGCCTGGTGACTGTCTCTTGGAGGGGTCCAAGGTCCCAGGCTGGCAATACATCCCACGTGCTACCCACAGCCAACACAGAGGAGTAAGCAGAGCAGTGCACAGCCCTGCAGCCCTTCCACAGCAATGTACAGGGGTAAATCAGATGTAGGGTCTGACAGTGATCTATGGATGCTGAACTCACATCCTGAACTTGGCAGAGGCTTCTTTGTTTAGGCTGCAGTTTGCGTAAAACTTAGAAAGGGTTTGGGCATCATCTTACTAATACTATGAGGTTTTGTTAAGAAACTCTGCTTTAAATGACTGCTACAAAACATCTCCAAGGTTTACACTGTCGTTTTGTCTGACCTTTAATTAAAATACCAAGACCATCTTTACCAGGTGATGGCTATTCATAAAATCCTTTGAGGGGTTGTATAAGTCTAGGGCTGCTTATATCTCAGTGATACAGAGAGCAATACAGCTTACAAGGAATTTTGGAGAAATTTGCCTTTCTTTTTAACCATCCCCAGCCTGACATCAAAGAGTTTCATTTTAGGACAATGCATCAAATACATCATTTTAAAGGAGATACAGTGAGAAAAGAGTAATCAGCATCTGGTGAGAATTATTTGTGATGTGATCTGCAAGCATTCTCAAGTACACAGATGTACGACAACGCAGATGGTGATATATGTAGGAGAATAAATCTTTTATACAAAGTTGAAGTGATTTTAGTGCTTTGGAAAGTTTGGAAATAGATGGCCTTGGAGGCTGATCTCCTACTGGGGAGCAAGGAAGAAACTGGAGCAAAACCTTGGTGTTTTGCCAGCATAACCCGGTGCTTGTTTCAGAAACCATTGCTTCGGGGTGCAAAGCAGTTTGCTCCAAACTGATTCAATCTTTGGCCACTCTGGTGAGGTCCCTACCAAAGATGCCAGCTAGTGCCAATTTCAGTGAACTATTTTGAAAATGTGGATATTTATCACTAACAAAATGGCTGAGAACCAAAGGTCTAAACCTACAAACTTAATGTCATCAACCTTCAGATGGTAGCTTCAAGAACTTCACTGCCCAAAGATAAAATAAAGCTTTCAAGGCACAGATTTCCAAAGAAGTCTGATTTTCTTTAGTTTGATTCCACATTCGTTAGGTCTGTAAAGACAACAGCAGTTCTGTTTGAACTAAGGAGCCAAGGAGAGGACCTCAAAATTATAGCTGAGAAAGGCTTCTGCAGTTTAAAAAGCTCAGCTTAAATGGCAGCTGAGTCCAGAGTCTTTGTGTGCTTTTCATCGAATTTTCTGTACCCAAACTCTCCCTGAGCCTTTGTAAAAATCCTTAAGGCTCAGACTTCCTAATAACACTTGATAATAAAACACAGTTTTATGGCCAAATTGTGAAATTCAGGATTTTTGAATGAAAGTTATGGAATTCTCAAATGATAGAACTATAATTTATAATTCTAAATTAAGGCCCTAGGTTGCTAAGCAAAGAAGTTTAACATTAAAAAAAAAAAAAGCAGAATGGAAAAGCTGCAAAACTTCTTCATCTAATAATTATAAATTATTTTTGTCATGATTAAGATTCCAAGGTGACACGCATCGCTACATTTTAGTAGTTCAAGAAACACAATATAAATCTATCTGCAGTGAATTTTTTTAGACTAGTTTTAAAATGTAATAATTTAATTACTTCATAAATCAAAATAAAAGCTCAGCATATTTTTAAATCACTGCAAAAAGGGAGTTTCAAATGACACAATCTTAATAATACACATGTTAAAAATGTTAAAAATAAATACCTTAAAAAAATACACAAAATTCAGAGTGTGTTGCCACGATAAGGTGCTGACATTTATAAATGCCATGTGATTAGCATGTGAAGAAGAGATACACATTCATTGTACGCTAAGACCTATTAATCATCCATCACCTGCTAAACATACGGCATAATGCCCTCCCCATTCTATTTTGAGGTCCTACCGAAGATGGCTGTTGGTGCTGATAACGCAAACTCTTCTTCAAGTCCATTAGTTAGGACTCTTGATAGCAACAACTTTGTGTACCTGCTGCGTACAGCTGGGATCTTGCTAAAGAATACAATGACCTTTGTGACTCAAAATTAAAGACTGGATGAAAGAAGGAGCATCAAGCAATTAACTCATCAACCATGGCACTGTGATTCTTTTTCCAAAGGTTGTTGAGACTTACAGACACGCGTGTGCATTTTCTGTCATAAATGTTCTACTGCAAACTTTGGTATTTGGCTTCCAGGGAATGAATCTGTACTTCAAGCTTTAAGAATGAAACCCTCTAGCTTCAATCAGTTCAACCGATTCCAACATACCTCTGCATGATCCTCCATGAGACAAGCTGTGTGATCCGGGGAAAAATGACAGCTTTCCTTCCCAGGGAAGCCTGTGGAGACAGGCTTTCTAGGCCAGATAAAATTCCAAGTACTCAGAGAAAAGTCAACTCAAGGCACTTCGTCATTAATGTCATAGGACAAGAATTATCAAATCAGACATGGTCTGTCTTATCTAACATCTTGCCTCAAATCATGGTTGTCATGAGTTATTCCAAGGAAAGGAGTGAGAAATGCCTCCTTCTT